TTATTTATGATAATTCTCAAATAGGGATGATAAAGATAAAATCGATCCGCTATTAAAATTTAATTTTAGATTTCTTATATTTTTTAAATTAGGGATTAAAATGATTCCAGAAAAGAGCTAATTTTGGATTCTTATTACAAGATCAAGGGTTAAAATTGATATTTTTTAATTAGATTAATGACTATTTTAGTACTTAAATTGATAATTATTATAAATATTTAATTTATATAAATTATATTTAAATTCATCATTAAGGTTAGTTTGGCATTCCCTAGAGCATGTGAAAGTCATTATATGAAATAGTACATAGAAAATTATGAATCAAGATATCAATATCAAACAAGGACTCTGTACTTTTCAAGAAGTTATAAATTAATTTTTAACTCCTAAGCATATAATGATTTTTTTTTCATATAATTTAAAAAATAATATAATATTGAATATAACTATTATGTCAATAATTTATACTTTAAATTTTTTTTTTTAAAATAGAAGTTTTTTACAAGAAGTTCAACATGATTTAACTTATTATTCTATATATATTTAATACTTGAATTAGGAGATTTAATCAAGTATTAAATATATTAAATAATAAAGTTAACAATGATTCTTATTAATTTAATATATTTATACTTGATTAAGATCTCCTTAATTCAAAAATTTTGTTTGCAATTTTTTTTTTTTTAAAGTTTTAATTAAGCATATGAAAAGAAAAAATAAATAATTGTTCACATGGCAATTAATAAATTAGCAATGTTGCACATGCTTCCTTGATAGCAAAAAGTGATGCAGGCTCCACATGCCTTGCATTAGTTAGTCTTTGATTTTTTTTCTTTCTTTTTTTTTATTTAAAATTAGATTATTTGATATGAATTACAAATTGTAGATATTTTAATTCTAAAAAAACAAAAAATTGTATACTATATATATATATAGTATATATATATATATATATATACCTTTTTTTTTTTATTTTATTCTAATATTTAGGGTTTCGTCTGGGTAGTTTTTCTTATTTCTTTCTAAAACATACTTTTTAGTCCAAATTTTCTAATTAAAAAAATTATAGGCAGAAAGCTGTTTTAGAAAGCAGCAAAAAAAGCTAATCACAATGAATCAATAAGAGTGGGTTATATACTATTTTAAAATCAAATAATTTCATTATTTTGTGAGGAATGATTTTTCTAAGTAAAATAAGCAAAAAGGTGAATTAAATTATTTTTGCCCAAGTTTTTGTTAGAAATTATTAATTTTGACACAATGTTTAATTTTTTTTGATGATATTTATAATATTTATGTATTCATAAATATTTGTTTTATTTATATTTATTTTCATAACAAATATTATTTATTATTTTAAATTCATTATTTTAATTTTAAACATATTTTTTTAACTCATCTTCATTAAAATTTGAGTCAGGATATTCTAACCCAAATATTTTTCATGAATTAGCCTACTATAAAAATTTGAAAAATATTATTCTCCATAGTTATAGCATATATTTAATTAATGGGGATTTGAAATTTATTTAATTTTTATTTTATATAAAAAAATAATATCATTTTTTTGTTGTAATGCAAAATTAAAACACCCTATGGGTAAGAAGATGAGAAATAGCTGGTAAATAAATAAGAACAATTAAGTTGAATATTATCAAGAAAAAAAATTAGAAAATTTCTTTCTTCTCCTACGTTTCTGTGAATTTTTTATAAAATAATTTATCTATTTGATCGTCTAAATCATTTGGTGAGATGACTTTGGTTACTCTTTGCGGACTCTTAAATCTTGCGTAATAATTAATAAATAAATTTAATTAAATAATAACAATTAATTATATATGTCAAAATTTAAAAAAATTATAGAAAGCAGGC